CAGAAGAAGGCAATGGCAACCCACTTCTGGATCATCTGCCAAGAACGTATATGAACAGGTCCCAGTCCGAGAAAAGGATGGAAGGATCCTGTTCATATGGACCTGTCGTCACACAGAACACTAAATAAATAAATAAATATCGCTGTGACCATATAAAAGCCCTGTTATGTAACTTGGCTGTGCCAGTCCGTCACTTGTCATCAAAAAGTCGAAATGCAAGAATGTCCTTTCACAAGACATAATAATAATATAATAATAACAGTGCAGCCAACCACGTCATCACCCATCGTTATAAGTAAATATCCCTACAAAGTTTTTTTACACAATTTCAATTTTTTGTTGTGAATGCAATTTTTCTATACAAACACGTAAATATCTCCATTATTTAAAAAAGTCAGACACACATAATTTGGTGTCTAGCAGTACAGTTTATCAGGGAATCGACTGGTACAAAGTTTATGCACATTTATACAATAGTTCGGGAGTTACGAGCTTTGTAACAGCTTTAAAAAACAATGTGGGAATTTTTTTTTTAAAAAAGGTGCAAGTTTTACCGAACACAACCAAAGGTCTGTACTATTAAACGAAGATGTAAATACTTTCACTGGAGTGATGATTTCTTTTTAAAATGTTCAGCTAAGAAACATTTCCTGATAATAAACTAATTAAAAATCACGAACATTTTTATAAATTCACTTGAAATGAAGAACCAATATGCATACAGTTCTAAAATATTATTTTTCAATAATGAAGATAGTTCTCACGAATTGTCAGTAACAGCGTGCTGAAGTCATTCCTTCCATACAATGACGGTGTTAGCACTATATACAGAATATTAAATAGGCCTACTTAACAGATATTCAGTTTCAGAGACATTTTAATATACAACGAATATGTCGGAATCACTTCCTTCGCACTGTTGAGTAACCCCCTAGCAATCCATACGAAAAAGAAATCCTTGCCTGCCTGTGTACGAAAGACCGCTACATCAAAGTTAGGTTATGTTTACGTCCAGAATCTTTTATGCACCCAAGAAACTTGCAACACGTATAAATTTAAAGGGTTATGCATTAGAATGAAGACGTTTCTGGACGTAAGTGTATTTGAATTTTAATTGTATATGGTTATATAACACGTGACAATACTGAATCATTCTGAAGGTTAGTACGTCTAACATGACAACATTTCTGAACATTAGAGACAACGCAAAATTTATATATTATTTTCAAGAATCCGTCCGGTTACTAGTCAGACCTCACACGTTCATGTTTTGTCACCATAATACTAAGCAATATCATAATAAACGAAATGTAGCAACGTTGAAGTTCTTGGGAACAATAATAAATTATATAATCATAATCATAGCTTAAGCCACTCGACCTGTCCCGTCTGGAGAAACCTTAGATCTGACAGAGTAACAGAGATTCATATAAACAAACATACAGGTCCTATGACAGTTACGTTCTTGAAAAATGACTTTGTAAACGACGATTACATTTACGCATGTACTGTCTCAAACACCAATCGATGAGTCGAAAACAAGTTCAACAATGGACACTGCAGAAACATCAAGGCTTGACCATTCGACCGTGCATGGGTATCGAGTAAACGTAAAATCGATAGCTCGAAGAAGTGGTTTCTCGGCTCCTAATTGTTATCACATTCATGTGTTTAAAATCTGGCCAACCATTTAAATTTTGTTTGTACACTCGACAGTCCTTTACTACGTGGTATCCTCACATTACAGAAGCGAGTAGTTAAAACAAAGTAAACATCACAAATCATCACAAGGAGATTACGTGAGACATTAACAGACTGTCTCACAGTCCTGTACATTAAACGCAGTGACTTGCATGTGACGCTCTATCAAATGCGATATATCGAACGATATAATATGACGTAGAATGACAATCATTAAATGGAACAGAGACGAGGAAACTCGCGTGAACTGTGTACTTCACCGAAGCCGGAATTTGAATCTGGTACCTCAAGAACAGTCCTACAAGCAACTCACCGCACACGAATAAATCTGGTTTAAATCTATCAAACGAGAGACTCGGTCGGTAGACGTTGTTTTAAACGAGACTCGCTGAAATGTCAGACCTCTGGTAAACAGCGAACAGTATTGCAGTCTAACCTACAAAGGAACTTATGGACCATCCTGTGATGTACAAAACAGGTTGCTTCCTCCAACCTTCCCCTTACCAACCCCCCACCACCTCACAACAAACATACAAATGCTAGTTCCTGGGTCCTTCGGCAGTCATTCGTGTTTTCTTCGAGTACGTGGTTCGGCTCTCAACTATCCTCATCATGAACAGGCAAGTGAACGTCGTTTGTTTGTTACCAATTCACGAGCTTCAGTTTACCATCGTCAGCTTTGAGGAACTTCGGAAAAATTGCTAAAACTCACACGGTTTATTATATTTATTTAATAAATAATCCAAAATCGATTTTGAAGTAAAACGTTCGACGACCGTATTTTGATTCCCGGAAAGGGCATTTTTAGTTCGTCGCCATGTCCAGACCAACCGTGGGGCTACTCGCGACGTATTCCTTCAAGGCAAATCAATCCAGTACAGAGGTTAACAAAGCAGGACACATCTTCTCCACGTTAAGTTTATATATTTAATAATGTGGACAATAATAGCATTCGAATAAAAAATTTAACGACGGGAAGCATTCTTCGTGTTCTAAGTCATTTTTCTAACACAGTTTACAATCTGAAAGGTATTTCAGGATGAACAACTGGTTCACATTTCTGCTCAAATCAATAAACTTGAGTTATTATCTACTGACAGCAATTTTATGGAGCACGAAGGCTCCTTAACGTATTAACAGGAGTCTGTCACTGTTTATAACCTGAGCAAAATTAATCTAGTCCACATCAATCTATTTATTTTTTAAGACCTATTTTAATATCGTCACATCTATGTCTGGGTCATGTGAGTGGTCTCTTTCCATCAGATTTCCCCAAGTAAAATTTTGTATGTATTTTCTACCTCTCTTCAAATGTTAATAAAATCCTCTCGGGGCCATCAGCCATGTCAGATCGTTGAAAACTTGCTGGCAACCCAAAAATGGCCATACTGTCCTGATTTGAGTAGAATATAAAGGATTTTAATCAGATTCTTACGTAACGAGTATTGGGTAGAAAGTCAATACTGGAATTAAGTCTTGAACACTTCTGTAAATGGCGAATTAGTGATTTATATAGACAAAAGCGTTATTCGATAAGAACTGTTTCCTCGCATAACAAAATGCAGCATTTCCCAACCAACACTGCGTCGGTTAGCTCTCGTATATTTGGGAAAACCCAAACACTCTTGAGACTGGCAGATGTTGGGTAGTATAGTCGGCGCTGTGGTTTTTGGCCGGTGGAGCTGGCGGACGGGCCTACTCTGTGTACCTGAGGTGGCACGGTCAGCGTATTTCTTTTGTTTGGGCGTTCAGTCACACAAGCTCCTCGGCGCAGTCAGCATTATACTATCACACAAGAGACTCGCTCCTAGCCAAAAACTACTGCGCCGACTACAATGGTAACTTAAAACGGGTCATGCCTGTTCATGTTTTAACAAATGTCATCATCACAGACACTAAATAACCAGTGTAGACTAAAAAATGTCACTAAACAAATGAACTAATTATTCCGCCATGCTTTAGGTTGTATATGATGGCTGTTTTACTCCTTGGTCTAATTGTGTTAGACGAGACACTTGGAGCACACCACAAATCAAGCAAGGAAAGCAAAAAACAAAAGAAAATAGAGGGAGAACCACGTGAAGCCAAGAAGAAGTACTCGGACGCTGCCGTAAAGCAACACAAGAGGTAAGACACACACTGACATCTAGGGACTTGACGACGTAACTCTGGGAGCTATTGTCTCTCGGAGAGGTTAGGGGCAGCTACAAATTATTCTGCAGGAATTCAGCTCACGCTAAATCGGTTCTTGTGTAAAATAGTGACCTCTGTGACACAACGGCTTACATTTGAAACTTGGAAACGGAAATTAGTGTCATTGGTAGTAACAGTTACTGTTGGTGTTACGACAGTGGTCATGAATGTGCCACACCCTTCTCCTTGCAGCAAATTAATTTGTATAGAATCTGTTTGTTGACAATGGCATGAACAGTAAATATGTTTGTGTATGCAACGTTCTATGCCACTCAGTTATTTAAGTTGCGTTAAGTGTAGTGCCCTTTATTAAAAACAATTTCTGTTGAAAAAATTACAAGTAGCGCACCTGAAAACGTACAGATTCGTTACATAAAAATGTGACTGCTGAATGCGAAAATAATATTTACCAAAAACCAAGTCAAATACAATTTCCGAAACGGATGAACTCTCACTATAAATTCTAGTTCTTTATTATGATTTAGTGTACTTTAATAAAAAAAAGTTACTTTGCTGTAGGCACGGAAAGGTTGACAACACTGATCTGTATCAATGCTGTAACTATCTACACAGACATTTATCATTTCTGCCAACATAACTTCACTCGCACAATGAATATATTATTTCTCTGACTAATGCTAATAGACCAATTTCTCATATTTACTAAAATGTAAGCCTCGTTAAATAAAGTACTGTCACTGTGTTGATGGAAAATTTAACACACGATTATGTCCCATTATAGGATTAACTATTCGTACCTTTTAAAGCTCATAAAGTTTTGTTAATATTTGTTGCAGAAAAGCACGAGAAGCACCTGTTGAGATTGAAGAAAACGAAGAGGAGATTGAGGTTAAGGAGTTGTACAAGAGTAGGAAAGAATCTAAAAATGAGGAAGCACGAGCAGGGAAGTATAATAAAAAGGACAAGGCAAAGCAAAAACAGGGAGAGCAATACGTTACCAAGGAGAAGAGGAAGCCAAAGGAACAGGAGGGCAAGGCATACAAGAAAACGAAGTCGGAAGAGAGGAAGCCACTAAAGAGACAAATTGTGGAACAGGATGTTGAGACCGAAATTGTAGAAAATAATGACGAAGACACTGAAGGTGAAGAGATTTTGACAGATTCCCCACAAACTCTTGTGGAAGAGAATGAACTAGAAGTGGTAACGGTGCCAAACAAATCTTGTAAAATCAAACAAACCGTCGAAGACGACGTACAAGAAGAGGAGCCCGACGTATTGGAGGACGAAGAGCCGAGTAATATTGAGTACGTCCCTGCCAAGAAGTGTTACTACAAGTAACATTTGAATTGTTCTGCTCTACAAGTAGCAAATGTATTTATGGTAACTAGTTTTATTGAATTGCGTTGAATTGTTTGAATAGATTTTCACTTGTTATAACTGTAACGGCACACTGTTGAGTGTTTTTTTGAAATAAAAATTTGATATTACTCATATCCTGATTATTAGATGTCACAGTCCTGTATATATGATAAATTAAATGATATGCACCTGTCGTTCATCATTCAAACAAATCCCATGCTACTTTTGGTCCTTGATAAATCCTTAGTTCAAATTCTGGGCACCAATCAATCAAGAGCAGATTTGGAAGTCTTTGGTATTTTAAAACACATACTGATGATGTCATGAGAATGTATCTGAGAATATATGGACCTCCAATAAAGGAAGAAACAGGACAATTGCCAAAAAATTCATAATGAGAAGAAGCTTCAAAATTTGTACTCGTCAAATGCTGGGATGATCAAATTAAGGAGAATGTGGAGCAGGCCTGTAGAAAGACGATATTAAAATTGATGAAAATATACAAGATTGTTCTGGCTACGCTAAAGACCAGTTACAGTTACCTTTGAGCACGATAACCTACATGAAGGACTCTGCTCCATGGAGCTACGTAATTTTTTGAGTTGCGATCAAAAAAGGTCCAGACTGCACGGGAACACTACTTTGTAGAGAGTTATAATGCTGAACTAATTTACATGCAAGACCTTACGTCACGATGCTTCATTTAGAAATGGACCATCATGAAGAAAGGTCATGTGTAGAGATATCTGCATTTTCATCTTTTTAAGAAATGCCAAGACTTTAAAGAACTGTACATGCGGATTAACTCGTTTGAAGTTAGGCAAACGTAGTAAATGTTAAAATTTAGTACAGAAAGGGACCAAAACTCAAAACTTGGAGTGGTGGTAGATTTTTTAAGTTCAAATGATTTGTATGATTTGAAGCGTTCACAGCGACCAAGTACAATGAATTCTTCTTGGTCTACCAGCCGTGTCAGGTGGTTTACTTAAGAAAATATCAATGTTTCAAGAACCATCCTTGTCACTCAGGACCCTAAATTAATTACATTTAAATGACTTGTTATAATAAATGCTGAAAATTAAGGCACTGTTTTTAGATGATGGATTGTGTATCAAGAGTTATTCATACAGGGACAAACTATGAACCGGCAACATCTGCAGATGTTAAACAGCAATGGCATCATGTATGGTAAAACCATCCTCAATCCGTTCAATATAATCTGACTAGAAGCTCTGTACTTTTATACTTTGCTCTAGAATATGTCATCAGGAATGGCTCGAATTGAATGGTCTGCACCAGGTACTTGCCTAAGCTGATGATTTCAATTTGCTGGGAGAATGCAGAAACTCTCGTACAGTCTAGCAAGGAAATAGGCCTAGAAGTAAATGCAGACAAAATCAAGTACATGGACGTAATACGGTAACAAAATCAGCAACAACGGCGGAACACATTTATAAGTAACACATCATTTAAAAATGTTTAAAAATTTAAGTATCTGGGAACAATGATAACAAAAAGAATTGAGGTCCATGATGAAATTAAGAATAGAATATATTCGGGTAATGCTTGTTTTTATTCAATTCAAAAATTATCATCATCTCAGTTAGAGGTCCATGATGAAATTAAGAATAGAATATATTCGGGTAATGCTTGTTTTTATTCAATTCAAAAATTATCATCATCTCAGTTACTATCCAAAACACTAAAGATCAGGATATATAAAACAATAATTTTGCCGGTTGTCTTGTATGGTTGTGAAACATGGTCTCTTACCTTGAAGTAAGAACGTATATTACAAGTGTTTGAAAACACGCTGCGATGGGATATCTGGACCTAGGAAGGATGAAATAAGTCATGAATTTAGAATAACGCATAACAAGGAGCTGTGTAAATCGTACAGGTCACATACCACTCCGATGGGGTGGGCTGTAATAGATGCATGCAGAATTTTGGTGGGGAATCCTTCTCCTTTATTCTGAATTATTACAAGTGCGTTTCTTTTCAAAATATGCTCCGCTGAACTCAATACATTTATCTCAGCATTTTTTCCCCTAATAAAAGACATGGTTAAAAATTTTTTGGACATATTTAAAATTGATTCTGCAGCATCTGCGGTCTGCAAGTGCTGCCCTCAAAGCTCTGTTTTTAGTGCAAGAAACAAGAAAGTCACAGGGAACTAGATCTGGGTTCTAGAGATGGTGGAGTATACAATGAACACCTTTGCTTGTCAAAAACCGAATGACAATGTTTGAAACATGTGGTCAGACATTGTTACGATGGAGGATCCAGTGTCTAAGAAGCTCCGGTCATTTTCTTCTGATGTGGTCCATGAGGGTTTTGAGAAATGAACAATAGTAAGCTCCAGAGACAGTTGTTTTAGGTAGTACTGTGTGGGTGTAAACCATTTCATGACAATAAAAATGCACTATTGCTATTACATTAACTGCTGATTGAGAGAGACAAACTTTTTTTGATCTTGGTGACCTTGAAGAGACCAGCTGGGTCCTTTGCCATTTATCCTCAGGATCATACAGCCTAATCCATGTTTCATCGACTGTCACGTTTTGTTTCCCTGTTCTAAAGCGCAAGATTTCCACAGCTGACAGACTTCAACGTGTTTCGCTTGTTGCTTGGGCGTCAGAAGTCAAGGAATCTATCTCGCACAGGTAAGGGACATGATCAGATAATCATGCATTAGAGTGCGTACACTCTTTGTTAATATCACACAACTCTCTAATGGTAATCTGTCGATCTTCATGCGCTACAACGGAGGTGGTGTTCACAGTCACGCTGTTATTTGCAGTTGGCGGATCTCCCAGCCCACGGAGTTTCTCAAATTACTCCCACCTTCTCTGAACCATCAATGTGCTGCTGACTGAGACAAAACCTCTTCTGTGTAAGCCTCTTTTAAAAAACTGTACGCTTCACTTACAGTTTTCTGTGGCAAAATATGGAATAAATAAACCTGCTTCATACTCTGTATTAACATGGTATTTTACATGTACAACTGAGGACTAGCATGTATCAGCGTAACGCACCATGAAAATGACTAGTATTAATCAAACATTTATGACAAAATATAATACATGATTTTCTGCATCTAGTCATGCATGAAAAAATAGTCTATCTGAAGTTGCTTGTTCCATCAGCACACCTAATAGATTATCAAAACCAACACAAAAATAGCAGTAACAAAGTGCAAAGAAACAGTCAACTCTGATCACTTCGCCAGGATCACACTGTGAGAATTGCTATGAGCATTACAGCCAACAGGTCCCGCGCCGTAGCCGCACGGTCTGAGGCATCATGCTTCGGACCGGCGATACGGAATGCACGCTGGTTCGAGTCTCGGTGGAGAAGAAATTTTCTCACGAGCTTTCGACCAGTGTATGGGACCGGTGCCAACCCAGCATCTTAAAGAAATTGGGGCGCTACAATGAGTAGTGTAATCCGGTCATGAAAACTAGCATTGGCTGGGGGTTCGTCGTGCTGACCGCACGTCGCTCTATATCTGGTTGGATGATCGTTCACCTCTGCTTAGGCATGTGAACGTGAGGCCAGCAGTCAAGCTAGTCGGCTTTGGCTCTGGAGCTGTTACGCCACGGATTTAATTTAATTTTTAATTACAGCCAACAGTATGGCAATGGAGTAGTTTATTTACATCCAGTCACATCTACAAATACTACAAAACAGTTTGTTTCGATCAGAGTGGGTCTGAGATATGGAACTTTCCTTCAGATACAAAAATACTTTTAAATTTGTCCAAGATGAACATTTTGATAAAACCCTCCAACACTGACTACCATAAAGCACAGCATAAAAATACAAATTAAGCTGATTTCCATAAATACAAAGCGTCTGCTGCGGTAGAACTGCCTGCAATTTGACACTCGATTCTATTACAATTTCTTTAATTTCATAATCTCTTTGGATGAGTTTTTTACCTTTATCATCTTCGCAGTGCAGCTTACACATAACAGCCCAGATGACCGTGTGTCACAGTAGCATACAGCTTAACTGTTATCCCCAGGATTTAAAGTCAGGAAGGCAGCCTCATAGTAAGCAGGTTTAAATTACCTGTTCCCACACGATAAAGGCAAAGTGTCTGACCTTGAAACCTTGTTAGTGGACAACGTCGACATCAGAACAACAATATATCATACTTGCACGTAAAATGTATTAATATATTACCTGTGAAACTGAATCTGAACATATTTTTGAATAAAGTGTCTTGGAACAAAATCACAGATGTTGCAGAACAGTTTAATCTAAATGTCTGCTGCTCCACACAGCAAATTTGTTCCCTCCATTACAGTGAAAGGTTCAAGAAAACTTTAAAATTTTCCTTTCCCTTCAAGGTAACATAAGTGGCACTTTAGTGACCACTAAAAAAAAGCAACAAGAATAATCGAGTTAAACATTTATAGTTAATCCCTAGATTGAATTAATTGTGTTTAGTCAAACCCTATGTGTTAAAAGCAGGGCTGTGGAGTCGGAAGCAATTTTAGGTGGAGTCGGTAAAAATGTACCGACTCCGACCCCGATATAAAATCTTAAGAAAATAGTATTTTAACATTTTCGCTACCATGTGAGCCGCCGGCAGCCTCACGCTTAGGGAGATTCAAAGACGCGTTGAGCCACATGGTGTGGGAATAATGCTTTGTAACTTTGGCTCCGGTACCTTAAGAATACAAACTGCCTACAAATCAACCGATTTCTGCAATAACCATTAGACGCATATTTAAATATCGGTTATAAGTCTAAAATGTAGCCTGATGATTCACGTGGTGGTGATAAAATCTCTTATGGTGACATTTACCATTTTAGTAGGTTTACATATTGAGCTTTTATGAAGGAGTCGGAGTCGGAGGTTTTAGTACTGACTCCACAGCCCTGGTTAAAGGTCCTGTAGGGTTACGTGTGACTCTTCTGAAAATGGGTTAAGTGACAAGGTAAAAGTAAACAGTACCTGAGCCATTGAAGGGAATCTGTTCTGTTACTGCCACGTAGTCACCGATGCTGCAGTTATAGGAGTACTGCATGCTGAGATCATCAAACCAAAGGATCAAGTAGTGGTCTGGTGGACCGATGAGTCGCCACGTACAGTTCAAGTTGTTGGGATACTGCCCTGGGTATGTTGGCAATATGACACGGCCTGTGTAACCCCTAATCGTGCCTCCACAAGTTGCTGCAAAGAAATTCACATTTAACGCTTTACAATAAAAATCTCATATGAATAATATTCGATAATACAGTTCCTACCTCTGAGAAAACATAACCACAACATGATTTCTTCTAAACATGTTTATGAACCGTAAATAAAAAAACCTTGGGATATTCCAAACTACTGAATGTTAAAGCAGATGGAACATACAGTTTCCACCAAGGTACAACAAGTTTTCAAATTTATGATGTGGTTCACAATACTGCATCAACTGGATGAAATACTCCTCACTGAAGCCACGTGTCTACCCACTTAAGACAAAGAGAGGTCTCATTTGAACAGGAAACACGCACAAGTTCTGGACATCCCTTTCACGCTTAAAGATAATGAACATCTTAGCAGGATTTGAGGTTCTCCTGGTGGCGAGTACAAAGACGGCCGTCTTCTGGGTTCTACCGTCATGTAGTCTGGTGGAAGTCTGCCGACGTTTCAGAGGTCATTGCTGCCTCTATCATCAGCATTACGAGGGCAGCAAGAACCTCTACAGAAGATAGCGATCTTCATAACGAAGAACTTGTCTAACCATCGCATACAGATTTAAGAAGATAACTTTTGGTATCAATGGATATTTAAATTATGTTAAAATTACTGATACAGTTAACACGAAATCTTGTTAAGCACTAATCAAAATATTGTGATACAGTACAGTTGGTTGCACTGTTATACAAGCATTTACATCTAATGACAATGGTTCAGGCTGACCGTGGCTGTGGATTCTATCAATTTCATCCCTGGCTCTGTTACGAACACACAGAACGAATCTAATTTTTTTAATCATTACCAAAAGGGCTATAGAACTATAGTTGAATCTTACCAATTGTGACAACGGCTTTGAATCCATTCTTTGGGTACTGGACGTCTGTGAAGAAACGGACATATAGCATGTTGCCTGTTGAGTACTGGGAGCTTGGAATTCCATTGCAAAATTTATTGATGAGTTCCGAGTTGACAGTTGCTCCATCACGCAGTTCCACAAATGCTTGTTGACAACTGTTAACACACAATGAAACAATGTAAGGTACGTGCCTGCAACATGCGATACTTAGATAATATAACCTCTTAAACGACTCGCGCGAGAGACAGGTGTTTCAGAAATACATGCACGAAGGGTCACAAAACTGTTAAAAATGCGACCACAACGGTAGTTCTGGTTTTGATGGACCTTGAGAGAATAAATTTATGTAATTGTTTATTGACAGACTCATTTGCACTAAACACACTCACTGTTCAATAGCACACCTCACTCAAGTCTAGTTTATACATCACTGGAAGGTTGATTGGGAAATACATTAAAAAGATGCAGACTGACACAAATATTCATGGCGGAAGTATATGATCGACTGCTCGGAGTGCAATAATGCGAGAAGTTGCGTCCTCACCGATTTGCAGTCTGCCGCGACCGTATGATAGGACGTGTCAGACTCAGCCTACTCAAATTCAACTCTCGAATGAATTAGTAATCCAAGCCGCCAACAGAAACCAACGGGCAGTTTTTAATGTTAACCATAATTCTCACTTTGAATACAACGAGTACATTCGTACGTAACTACATACGTCATCGACGGTCAGTACAAGTGAGTACTAGGGTGAAACAGGTTTAGCACACGACCAATATTTCATAATCAAGCACACAGATAAGAATAATACAGAGTATCTTCGACTCCAAACTCCTTGCGCTCATTCAAGAAGTATAAGCAGTGCTGCCAACCCTCCGCCAATCGCCAAAGTATCCCCTATTTAACCTCAGAAATATGAATCCACGATTCAAATTTTTCGCGTGTAATTATAGTAAGTCATATCAGTCCCCTGGGATCATCAGCCGGGCACCCAACGATTCACAGCCATCACTGCTACAATGTGCGGCTAAGAACCAGCAGGAAAAATAAAATTCTGAATTAGGGCATTCAATTTCAGCCCTTCCCGAGTCTCTCCGATTTTTATGGCATGTTCTAGAAAATTAAAAGAAGCGGGGTAAATTATTCCCTTTTTTAGTACTGCCGATTCAAGAAACATTACGTAAACTTTTATCAACATGATATCTAGTTGATACCTTACAATGATATCGTCACATACCTTCATGTATAATTAAATCTGTAGCAGATACCACAAGCATACAAATTTTTATTAATCAAAATTTTTTTTGTGGGTATTGCAAATGAACTTATTGGTGCAATGTTATTCAGTACGTGTTTCCTAACTGAAACGTAAGTAGCTGATATACTGATTTTTATATTCAAAATTTTTTTCTCATATTTGTGAAACTAGAAATATTTTATCATACTTCAGAATCGACAACGATTACCAACATGAATTTAATTTATTGCTGGTATCAATGGTAAAAAAAAACCCAAATACTGTATAAAATTATGTGTGAAGCCGATTAAAGACATTCGTGGAAAATTAATGGAGTCAATCCTGCCACGCCTCAAGAAACAGGGTCATCTTATTCAACATAAAGCCTTACATGAATGACACTAGGGATTTTATTTTTAATTCGGCCAGCAAAACGATTGCAGACTGCGGATAATGGCGATCAGGAACAATGTCATTAGTGTTTTACCACAAGTATTGGAAATTAATTATTATTAATAACACATTTATACGACTCAGCTATTATTATATGCGGAATATATATATATGGCGCAAAAAATGTTTGAGGTTATGTCGACGGTGAATAGATTAGAATTTATTTACATTCCATGGATCCTTCTTAGGCCTAAGCCGAGGATGTAGAACAGGTCATAGCACAAATTACGATACTTGTTTCTAGTACAAATATAAATACATAGTTATAAGAGCTATTTACAGATTTTTGGAACTAAAGTATTACAGCAAAATAATTGACGAGTTGAGACTTTTTGGGTGAGGTAAATTCTTCTACTGAGTAGGAGTGAGATAGGAGATATTCTTTTTAGGGCTGGCTTAAACATTTCAAGGTCTCTCTGGTAAATGCAGTCACAGCATTTCGCAAACGACACAACTTTTAGTCTTGAATGTTAATTAATAGAATTACACAAATAATCGTTAGTGGGTCAGAATTTTAAGGTGCAATATGTTTATCTGAAACGCTGGTATCTACCCTAAAGTCCACGTGCCGTTAGAACTCAGGTCACCTTCACCTTCGTAATAACATAAAATCTGTTTTGAAGTAAATAACTGGAAAATTTATGTAATCTTTGCCTTATCAGAGCATGAAATAAAAAGGCGAAACAACGAAGCACATTGATAAACACATGTGGTCATCATACCAGACACAGGATTAGGTTACCACAGAAAACAACCCTCTGAGTTTATGTTATGTATTAACATCCTATCATCATCATGTTACTGTCAAGGATTCAGGGTCTTGTGACCCGTTCCAGCCTCAGTCATCAAGAAATCTTATTAAAGGGAGTCCTAATTTGGATTGGGGTTTTAGATGGTTTAAATATTTGATTAATGATGCCTGTTAACTTGTATTTTGATAATTTTACTGTGAGATCTTCTTCTGTTTCATATGATAATGTACAAAGTATTTATTTATTGTATGATTGTGTTATTTATTAATATCTTGGACCTGATGGGATCTTGTCATTTAAATGCCATGGTTTTGGCCTTGTCTGTAGACACTTTAAGTTATATTTCGAAGTCATCGTTACTAATTTATGTACAGATTACTGTAATGAATTTTATCTGTGTCAATAGAGGGTGAACCGGATGTAGTACGAGCTTCTGCCGCTAGGGGGTGCGGCCTACATCCGGCATCATCGAATTAGCATTTGTTTCTTTGTTACGGGCGTTTTGGTAGTGCATTACACCGACCCTCCTGCGCTTTCGGAATGGCGTGTGCATCAAATTTTGCCAAAGACTCGCCAAAACGGCTGCGGAAACCTATGAAATGCTAAAGCAAGCATTTGGGGAGTCCTCAATGGGTCGTGCACAAACTTTTGTGTGGCATTTACGTTTTAAAAATGGCCGAACCTCTGTCGATGATGACGAGCGTTCTGGACGACCATCTTCGAGCACAACGCCCGAAAATGTTACGAAGATTCGGCAGGCCATTCACGAAGATCGACGTCGTACCATCAACGACTTGTGCGACATTGTTGGGGTAGGCTATGGGACCTGTCAGCTGATTCTAAAGGAAGAACTCCACATGCGACGCATCATGACAACGCGCCAGCGCACACCGCCCTCAAAGTTCGGCAGTTTTTGGCCTCAGACACCATGGCCGTCATCCCACACCATCCTTATTCGTCGTGTGACTTCTTCCTCTTCCCAAAAATGAAAATTCAGCTAAAGGGAAGGAGATTTGAGACGATAGATGAGATTCAGGCAGAATCGCAGATGGTGCTTGACAGGCTGACAAAGAAAGATTTCCAGGGATGCTTCCAGGCTTGGCAGCGGCGCTGGGATCGTTGTGTTCACTCCCAGGGGAACTACTTCGAGGGCGATGGATGAATTTAATACCTGAGATAAGTGTACGGGTTTTTATACGAGCAGTCTTGAAACCTTCCGATCGCACCTCGTATCTTATATACGTATTGCTTGTAATAATGGGTAAGGTATATTTCTCTTACATAAAAATTTAAATAACAAAGATTTATCAATTTGATCACAGACCCTGTCACTTAAAATTGTGTACACATTTTTATGTTCTTCAATGTGCGAGGAATCTCGTTATGGTTCCAAACCTTCAAACGACCGTCTTTGGCTACACATAAAAAACCCACATC